TAGATAGATAGATAGATAGATAGATAGATAGATAGATAGGTAGGTACATAGATATCGTATTTCAAAATGATGAACCCAATTTCAGAGCCGTATATTTCACGATGGCAACAATGCTACAATTACAGGAAAGGTCGCAAACGGTCCAAGAATTTATTAAGTTTTGTTATATTTGTTTATAAATGCTCTATGTGCCCTCCACCTGCTGCACGGGCAACGTGGAGACGACAGCTGAATTCATCCCAAACGCCTCTCAAAGTGTGTTCTTCCGCTGAAGTGACGGCTTCCGTTGTTCTGCTTTTGAGTCATGCAGTTCAGTCTCCAATGGTGGCACAAAAACACGGTCTTTGACCTACCCCCACAAGAAAAAGTTGTAGTGTATACTGTCTGGAGATCTTGGGGGCCAAAACTGCAATGCAAATTCTTCGGGCCCCATGCGCCCTATCCAATGTTGAGGCAGTGATGCATTGGGAGAGGCATCTGGCGGTAATCTTTTAAAACTCTATCCCAACCACTTTCAAGTGGTAAGAGTTTCATTCATGGGCGATTTGCGATTGCAGATATATAGCAATTTCAAATAGAGTCCATCATTTTGAATCAGCTTGTATTATGGGTTATGATACTGGGTAGCCCGTGGGCTGATACCAACATTTCAGAGGAAGAACAACCTCCATCTTCAGGATATAATTCTAAGGATTCTATGCCGTGTTGTCTCCGCATAGAAATCTCATAAACTTATATAAGATTTAAAATTTTCATGGGGGTTAAAATTCATATTGTGGTCTTCTATGTTACGACACCTTGTAGTGTGTAGGTGATAACGAACGTTTCAGGGAAGTTGATGCTTCTATTTTCAGGGTGGAAATCGAATTTAACGTAAACGATCTGGTAAACAAAACCGTTTTGTAGCCTGGGAATACAGTGTTTCACTGCCTGCGCCAATCCTCATGACCAACATCTGCCTAAATAATTCCTGTATCGCTAACAACGATGACTTAAAGACTTCTCTTCAAAGTAATGGCTTTGTAATGACATGGGACTTCATGTCTTGAACTAAATTAGTTTTAACTTCTGGTTACTTAAGCCTAGTCTTGTAACTGAAGTGCCTATAAGATGCTTTGGACACTGAAACAAGGCCCAAAACACGACAAGAACAACCTTCATGAAGCCAAAATTTTCGAGCAAAAACAATGTACGGTTACCAACCTACATCCTACACCAAATTCGTGTTAAAGTAAATTACTTTTTGCGTAATTATAAGCAAGTTTAGCCTGCTTATTAAACAAAATTCATTATTAATAATCTTCATTATTATTTAGTTCGGGGGATAGACGTAATTTTCCGACAAAAATTTCGCAAAAAAATCCCTAAATGAAATTTCTACGTCATAAGTCGTTAAGATTTGTTATCATATAATTACTATTTTCTTTTATTTTTTTATTTGTTAATTTGACATTATTATTTACATCTAATGACGAAGAGTGCGTTTTCTCTATTTCGTATGTAATTAATTTTGAAACATTAACGGCTGTTAATGCTGTTGACGGCGAAAAAACTACTTTCGACAACTTAGTACCTCGCTACCAGAAGAGCCGCCATTTAAGAAGCCTGTAATTACCCTCAGAATACGCTGCAGTGCCAGTCACAGTCCCACGCCGTCAAAGACATGAACCGTCTTCTATGGCTCAAATAATGGGGTCGTTGGTTCGAAACCCACTCGTAGCATGGATATCTGTGTGTGTGTTTATTCTGTGTTTATGCTGTCCTATGTGTAGTTATAGGTCTCGAAACGGGCTGATCCCCTCCCAAGGTGTCCTATTGACTGTGTGTAGGAGCTGAAGAAGCGGTTGTAAAGACATAGATAGATGGATAGATAGATAGATTTTTTTATTTAACAATATATAGTTAACAATGACAATAATGATAGATAGATAGATAGATAGATTTTGATAATGCACTTTTTATATATTTTTAAGAACACAACTATTGTTCAATTGCAAAAATAATAGCAGCACTTCTTTACAGACACAGTTGAATGTCATAAGATGGTATATTGAGGGTTTGGGCCTTCGTAATGTTGCTGAGATCTCAAAGTGATCTTCTGTGGTCCTTGACCTTCGCCGGCGCAGCCATTTGAAAAGTTACATTAGAAGTGGTCGTAAGCGTGTCCTCCATTGTGTACGCTGTGTCCTGACTTGGTGACCACAGCGTTGAAGCCGTTGTGTTTGTCCGCGGTGTAGTCCACCGTGCGCACAGAGCCGTCTGGTTCCACGAGGCTGTACTGCCCCTTGACCACGTCACCATCAAGAACCTCGTGTTGGCTTTTCACATCTCCAGTGTGGTAGTTATAAACGGAGTACTTGAAGCTGTACTTGGGGTGGGCCGTTGATGTATATAGTAGTATCAGATCTGCTTGTTTAGTATAATCCTTCCCTCTTCAATCTTTCCAAGTATGTGATTGTGCAGCCAGTACCTCTCGAACGCCTCGACGTCATCTTGCCATATGCTGCAGTGCATTTCTAGATTCAGTCGGAATTGCAGCCTTATGCGGTACATGCGTTGGTAGTCTGGTGGTTTGTCGTGGGTGTTCT